GCAATTTTTGTTAGGGTATACTTAATATGGACCAAATATTGAGGGTAGACAGCTTTAAAGATTTTTACTTCATCAAAGAATAAGCATTTCATATTTTCAAGGATAAAATATCTTTATTCTAACTGCAAATCAATCAAAATAAATTGAGGAACCAAGTAAAGCCAATCCTATGTACACAGTCAAGATATCTCTTAGGCACGCAATTAACAACAAATAGTAAACAAAACCGAGATTGCATTGAACTCTTAAGAATTTCATATTTTCTAGGATAACATATCTGTATTCAACTGTACACCTTAATTGAGGAACTAAGTAAAACCAATCCAGAGGACACAATCACGATATCTCTTAAGTGCACGCATAAAAAGGCACAATTAACAAGTAACAGTAAACAACACTGAAATTGGAACGAGAATCATCATGATAACATATCAATCAATGAGATAGTGTTCAAGCACTCTCACACACTGAGAGTGCAGAGAACAGAAGGAGAGGTTAAAATCTGAAAGCAAATAAGTAAACAAATAATGGAGTAAAACCTACTCGAAATAAAATGTATCCAATTTAAAGAGGATTGTAATATTTTTCTACAGAATTTTGATGACAAGATGATTTCTCAGAATACATCATAAACTATCCTCTAACCTTCCTTCATATTTGATGCAAAAATCCCAATCCGACTTTTGGAATTCAAAATTGATCGATCCTCTTAGCCCACATACTGTCAAGTAGGCAATGGGCTTCTATTTAACTACAGAAACTGGAGCTGCATGTTGACTCCTCAACCGAATCCTGGAGGCACATCAGGATCTTCATCGTTAGGATGACCTGCCTGCTTATGCTCCAGAATAGAAGAAAATCCAGGTGGAGGACCAGACTCCAAATTGTCGGGCTCCAATATAGCCGGTGTGCACAAGTTTCCCTCTTTTACTTCTTTTATTTCTTTTCCTTTACGAATCATTGAAACCCCCAGCTTATCATTTGGTTTCTGCACATTGTCATTCTTCTTACTCTGATCTTGATCGCTTAACACAAACCCTGGCGGTTCATTTTGCTCACCATTGGTCACTGTAGCATCAATATCATTGACTGAAACAATAGCATGCACATTATTCTCAAGTGTCTTACCAGCAGGCTGCAAACCAACGTGAGAAGATGTCTCGCAATGGTTATTTCCTCCTGGGTTTGACAATTTATTGTAAACTGATTGCACCGTTTCAACTATCTCTGTTTTCATGCCATCCCCAGATCTAATTATGTTCCAGACACCATCAGAAATTTGGCTCATGACTTTTTCCCTAGGATAGAGAAATACAACGAAGTAAAACTCTACGTATAACCAAATCTCTGCTAACTCGCATAATAAAGAAACTTTTATCAGAAATCTATAGGTTGAGTAAAGAAACTCTACATATAACCAAATCAGAAACTTCAGTGTTACCATACTCTTTTTTCCAACAAAAAATACTCATGAAAGTTTATAATTACTATAGAAACTTTTATCAGAAATCTAAAGGTTGAGTAAAGAAAAGATAACTTATTTCCTTTTAAGTCAATTAATTAGAGAACAACCTTACCCAATCTCTTTATGTATGGCATCAGAAAGTTGCCGTGGTTTCATATTTTCAGCACCTGGATGGTTAAGTGCCACTGATTTCTTTACCATTGATATGATATTGTTTCTCAACTCTTCCTGGAAAAATCATGTTCAGAAAATCTGAATGGTGAGTACAGAATGAAGAATCAAACAAGAGCGAGGAGGAAACTGGTAAAAAGATAGAAGAAGAAAATTATAGCTCATCCTCCAAAATTCATCAAGTTCAGAGGGGGAGGAGGAAATGAAGAGAGAAGAAAAATGGGTTATATTACCAATACATCCATGCTCTAACATAATCAAATCGCATATCATAATTGAGTAAGAGGTAAAAACAAGGATGACCTAAAACATATAAATCATTTCACATGCTCCAAAGGACAAAAGAAAGCATAAGCAAAAGAGTCTAAAGCTGTCCCTCTGCATTTCTTCTTGCTGGAGCAATAAATCATGAAAATCCAAGTTTAAAACAAACAAACTCTAAGTTCCTAGTCGTGAAAGACAATATACAGTCTAATCAAATACCTGAAATTAAGAACCTACAAAAATAAGAAAGAAAAACCGGTATGATACAAAATTAAGTGTTTATCAGTCCCAGATCAGCTCCCCACTAACTGGCTTTTGGTTCAAAGTCATGGATTCTCTTTTTCCTATTCATTTTTTTACTACCTAATCAATTCTTCAACGAAAACACTGCAGAAGAAGCTTTTTTTCCTGTGGTATCTAAAGGTTTCATTATAGATTAAAAAAAAAAAAACACACACACACACACATTATTGCTACTTTCCCAGCATTATAATTTACATTTATAACTTAGCCAAAATTATTTGAACATAATATATACAACCATCTTGTAAAAATATGAAAGGTTCTCTCACTATAGGAATATTGTTACAATAGCAGTGCAATGACATGTTGTCAAATTAAAGCTTCCAAATGTAACTAAAACCAGCTGTTAAAAGACAAATATGATTGGATAGTGATACACGTTGTTATCGCTATTATTGAAAAGCAAAAAAATAATATCATTTAAGAGATGATTTTCATATAAATGTGACAGATCACCAGGCGTAAAACTCTCAGATTGAATAGATGGGTATCGCTTTCAATGATGAAGCCTTCATTGTTAAGAAAAGGAAGAAAATTAACAGTCCCTTAACATGCACACTCAACCAGCTCAAATTTGAGTATAAATATATATGAATCTTTTCATTGTCTTGAAGGAGGGTCGTAAAAACATCAAGTTAATAAGAATCTGGTTGGCAGCGGTCACAAGCATAAGTCATTATAATGGCAAGTATTACAAAGTTTATTGTATTACGTCTTGTGCCAAAGAGGTTGACTTACATAGATATTGAACTTATTTAGAGCATGTTTGCCCACGATTAAAATCCAATTTTAATTGAAAATATGGTCGTTATTGAGTCCCACTCGTTTAATAAAAATCAATAATAACGGCTAGTTTTTCAATTTTAATCCAATTTTAATCTCTACCGAACACGCTCTTAATAAATCAAATATGGTATTTTCTAATTCATTTCCTTCTCATGAATACTCTTTTATTTCTTTTCCTTTTCTAGTAGTTCCTTTCTGATCGTCTACAAGATTGAATATTGACACATGAAAAAAAAGAAAAAAAAAATTGTATGCATCAAAATCTAATATTTCCCTATTGTCAGGAGAAAAACTTCTGCAACTCAACAAAGTAATTCCTCCACTAATAGTCACATTTTCATTACAATCAACGCCACAAACAAAATATTAACATCTCTTAGTTTTGTATGTAAGCTAGATTTAGCACTATGGATAGCAAGTGTAGATTGGATCAAACAACTGGTATAAATTACCACCGAGGAATAGACTATCTTTTGAATGAAAAAGTTCTCGGTTACAAAACACAAGCCGCCAAGTTTAAACCCAAGTGCATCTTGTCAAACATCTAGCTTTCTAAAGCCTATTGAAGTCAATATCCATTAAAAGGATAAGAGAAAAATAAAGAAAGGGAAGGTTTTCGTTTCTTTATTCAACCCAAACAATACAATATAAAACAAACCACATGAATAAAATCTTAGAGAAAGCAATGTGGTTGATAACCACTAGCCATAGAATTCTTCCCCCAGTCTCTACTCTCCTTGTCTCCATCTGGGCTTTGCAGTCCACGTGTTGCAGAATGTTAAGGCATACAAAAGAAAAGAATAAAGGACCACATGGTTTCATCCCTTCTCCACGTGCAAAGCCATCTTGTGACACTACAGTTAGGAGGACGAATTTGTAAGATAGGTCACATCTTGCTTCTGTCCATTGTTTTTATCCAACTTAACACTGGCAACAAGAAAAATAAAAGTTTTGGAAATCTATCCCAGAAGAAAAACCCAGTACCCATATTCTTTTTATGCCATAACTTTTGGTATGGCAGAAGAGAGACATGACACTGTTTTTGGATCAAGTGAAGAGCAGATACAAAGGTCCAACAAGCATTGATTATTGCTATGTGAAATAAGGTGCCACTATAGAGAGTCCCTGAGAGTACAACCCCGACATACTTCGCTAAGAAACACAAAGAAAGACAGCTTTAGCCTCAAAACGATTTTAGTAGTTTATCAAAAAATCTATATGTCGCGTATAGCAGTTTCCTTTCTATGCAAGAAACAATTAATGCCCTGTGAGATAAGATGCCAACCTTGTAAGTTGTAAGAGTCCCTAAGGGTGCACCCGTACAAGTACTCCAAACTTCACTACAAGGTATGAAAAAAGATAGCCTTAGCCTCAAAACGGTTCTAGTAGTTTGTCATTGTATCTATATGCCATGTGCAGTAGTTTTCTTCCTAAGTTGCAAAATTTACATTAATCATGCGCACAAAAGGTAGTCACTCTAACAAGGAAGACATTGATTCTTATTTTTTTCCAAATTTCTAGTCATGGTTCATTTGAATTAGTAAGTTCATAATCTTTTCTGCCATGTCACGAACACAAATAATCATTTTGTGTGCCCGCAAAGGAAGGATATTTTCTCCTTCAGATTGCAGAACAAGTTCAGACCCTAATCAACACATTGCAACCTTAAATTAGTACCACTTGAAGAATAAGCTGGAAAATAACAACAAAATTGAAGATAACAACCCTCAAGGCACCACCTTATCAAAGCCCACTGCCAATGCCAACTGATAAGGATCGATCGCCTCTACATCTTGATTAGAGTCTCTATTACCTTGTATTGTTATCTTTACCACTTTGTATAGTTATCTTTATCATTGTATAGTTATCCTCTCATTTTCAACTATAAATATGTACCATGTGACACATTCATTTCATACCA